CTCAAGTACAGGTCGTGGTAGTCACCCAGGTTCCTGCAGCCCAGTTTCTCCCACACGTTCTGGGCATGGTCGTAATCGTCCTGGGTGATGGTCGAGTTGGTCAGGTTGCTGTAAAATCGGTCAATAGGGGGGCAGTCGGGTCTCGTCGAACTTGGCCCAGCTGTCCGTGTACTCGTAGGGGTACACACCCTTCCTCATCAGCAGGGGTCGAGTCTCGGCATCGGTGTATCATTTGGTGATGTGGAAGGTATCGTTGGCCTTTACCAAACTGTCGAGAGCCCACACCACGAACTGAACTGAGTCGATGAACCTCAGGCTGTTCAGGGAGAAGGAGATGTATCTCTCCATGTTGTTGGGGATACACGTCAGGTTGCCGTCGACCCTAGCGATGGCCTGCATGATCAAGTGAGAGTCGTACCCTTTCAAGTTGTGGAAGACCACGGGGATGTTGATTGTTTTGCGGTTGATTCTGAGCTTGAGGATGCATGCGTTGTGGGCTGCGCCTATGTACTCACCGGTGATGTGGCAGTGATCTCTCACCGAATCACCGTTCAGGGGTGAGTCGCACACGTGGCAGTGAGTGCTAATGTCGTGAGCTCGCCGGTCGGCTTGGGCCGCATGGGAGCGGTGGTGTACAGCCTTTGCCTCATGGTTTTCTCTTCCTGTTGCAAACACTTGAGGAACTTTTCAGCCGCGTCGGGGCCTCTGTACACCACGGCAGTGTTCGTTTGCCCATCACATCTGACGACCACGTACCTGAACCCACAGGCCTCGTGCTCCTGCGTTTTATGAGTGTTTTTGTTTGTGGATGGCTTGATAGTGGTGTCAACGTGTTTGACAAGGGCTTCGAAGTCGGCGTAGATGATGTAAGGTACAGGCATTTGGTTCTTGTGGTTGTCGAATTTTAGGGTGTTGTCGCCTTCCTTGGGCATGTCGATTCGTATGGCCGTCTGCCCCACGCCTAGGCAATACTCCCGGTGTGATTCCAGCATGTCGACCCAGGTGAAGCCATGTAGGCACCGTTCACAGAAGTGTTTCTTTTCTCTGTGTGCCAACTGGTCGTACAACAGCCTTTCTGAAGTGTTTTATACACATGTAGTGGTAGTTGTCACCTCACTGGGTCATGAATATATAGATCGCCTTGAGGCCCTCGGTCACCGGGCTGTTCCTGTGCACGATCGGTTTGCTACCTTCATGCCCAAAGACTTTTGATAGCTATGTGGGTTTTCTGTTTTTCGATTTTGGTGATCTGAGATATGGGGGTGGGTTCGTCTATACCGTCCCAGTTGAGTCCGTCATCGGCCGGAAACAATGCGGATCTGATCGCCAACCTCAAACAATTATTCTCCTTGTTTTTGATGTTGACCATAGCTTGTTTTTTCTTGTAGTAGGGGGTAAGTCCAGGTACGTTCCACCTCTGAACGGCATGTACTTAGCTATGTCCAGGTAGACCTTATCGATTTTGTCCACGGCCCACCCGGAACCCCTGTGCGTGTAGCGTTTCAGGTATTCTCGTATTTGCTGAAGCGAGATGTCGATGGACTCATCTACCGTCTCTGATTGAGCCGCGACTCCTTGTTTACCCCTGAAGTAAGGCTTAACGTACTCAGTGGACCCATCCGCCTGTTGTTTATCGAACCACATTTTCACTGTGATTTGGAATTTGAGGCTCCCCAGGTCGGTCAGTTCCTCATTTACTTTGCCAGCAATCAGAGGTTTGACGTCGTCGATGTCTATGTTTTGTCAATCCACCCGAACCGTAGATCGTGCTGATGCAGCAGTTCACCTAGCTCGTCTGCTTGATATTTCACAGTGGGAGGGGGTTGTACGTTGAGTAATCTCAACAGCTGGGGTTTCCTCAATCGAGAGTAACCGACTACACCTCGTTCTCTCATAATCTGTTTAAGCTCTTGAACAGTAGTCATTGCTATACTCAGGTGTATACAATCTCTAAATGGGCCACTGTTTAGGGAAGGGAGGTAACTCCTCCAGCCTTATCTACCAGGTCAAAAAAAATAATAAGGCGCTCATAAATCCTTAGTGGAATTTTGCCTTGAGAAGGTTGAGGGTTGGCACCAGTAGGCCCACTTCAGCGTCGTAATCGGCTATACTTAGGTAGACCATTTTGATTTTGTACCCAACCTGGGGGAAGAGTTCCAGGTGTTCTTGTTTGCTTCGTAATGAGGTGTTGAGGTACTTATCCAGCTCAGGTTGAGTCGTGATTTTTCGCCCACCTGTGAAAGGGGAAGTATATCTGACGTCCCCCCCCCCCCCCCTCAGCCCATACCATTCTCAGTGTGAACCGAAATTGGAAGCGTCCCAGGTCATTCAGTTCCTCTTCGAGTATACCGGTGATCAGAGGTTTGATGCCGGTAATGGGTATGCTTTCAGCTTTGTTCATCCGCCACCTTTTCAGGTAACCTTCCGGGCTTATAGTTGTTCGCACGAACGCAGGCTCTCGGGTGGTACTCATCATTATACCTAGGTGTACACAATTTCTAATTGGGTCTCCATCCTAATGAGGCGCCTACATTCGTTTATATAGTCCTTTTTCTTCTCATAGATAAGCTGGTGCCGGACTACGTTTGCCCCATGGGCTTTACATAAACAGTAGTGACATTTCACTCTGATGCCACATACAGAGCACGTGTAGTTCACGAAACCATTTCTGATGCTCCTCATATGAAAACAGCAGTACCCCTCAGTCCTACATCTCCTACCACAGGTCTCGGTTTTCCCCATAAGCACGTACTGACACCAATACGGGGCTGATCTCATCTTTGGTATACTGATATGGGTACCTAGTTTAATTGTTTTGCGATTAACACAGTCGCTGCTAGGCCCAGCATGATGAAGACCAGTTCCCGGTCCTTTTGCCCTGAGGAGGGTGTGTAGTACTGAGACAGTGTGGGTTTCTCACCGAGGGGTTCAAGCTGTTTGCGGGTCAGCAGGTAGTATTCTTTTGTGGCGTCATCGACGTCATTGAACTTTCGAACGGCATGGTTCTCACGCTTGAGTTGGTCGTTAATGAAATCGAGTCTCTGCATACGTTTCTTCGCATACTCGGTTTGCGCGGACTGCAGTTGCTCCACAGCTATATCGTGTCGTTTTCGTTCCACTTCTACCTCGGCTACGTTCAACTCCCGTAGTTTCGAGAAGAGGTAATTACTACCGGAAAATGCCAGGGCGTTGACTACAGACCCGCCGATCATTATAGCAATCGTAGCCATCCTATATACACCTATATTTACTTCAAAATATTTCCTGGTATGATCCCTTGTATTACAAGGATGTCCTTGGTGGCCATCACCATACCCAGGTTCATGATGAGCATGCCCATTTCTTGCAGGTCGAAATCGAGCTTGATAGTCGGTTGTTTGAGGACCATCTTGGTCAGACGAGCGTATGCTATGGCTAGGCCGGCAACCACGGTGGCGTGGTATGCTTCGTTAACGAACGTTTTCCCCTCAGACATATCCCCTCGGATATCAGTTGTTCAAGCAGTTCGTTGCACTCCATCTTATAATATAGCAAACTATTTTTAATTTTAATGATGTAATACCTGATACACACGAAACACAGTGAGATGAAGGTTAGGTTGCACACGATGAGGATCTCAGAAGTCGACATTACATATACTTCACTGAGATTAACATAACTGAGTAACCGAGGAAGCCATACCCCACGACACGATGGTGTCACGTGACCACCCAGTATTGGCTCGCGGTCATAGTGACCAAGGAAGTCATACATGACACGATAGGGCCACGTAGCCAGGTAGTACCATAATGACCAGTAAATTTAGGACACAAATGAAAAGTGGTCGGTGAAATGGATGGTAGAAGAAAGGGTCCTACAAAGGGTTTACTGGTTAAAAAGAAGCTTGGCTTCACTGAATAAAAAGAAGCTTATGTGCAGACTTGATCTCGTACCCCCATTGCATATACTACTTTATTATCCTTTTTGACAGAGTTTTTAAAAGCACTCATTTATTTCAACGAAAACAAACTCCGTTTCTGGAGTTATTGCTGGATTATTGTTTGGACAATTTAAAGGATTCATTAAATTTGAAAGCATGTGCATTTTGTTTCTATACGACTAAAACAAATGGCGCTAAAGCCATACGCAGGCAAGACGGACTAAGTCATACGCAGGCAAGAAGTCATGTGCAGACAGGGCAGAAATATGAGAAATATCGCTTTCTCGCTCTTTCGCTTTCTCACTTTATCGCTTTCTCGCTTTCTTGCCTTCTCGCTCAAATGCTTTCTCGCTCAAATGCTTTGTCACTCTATCACTTTCTCTCTATCGCTTTCTCGCCCTCTTACATCGCTTTCTCGCCTTCTTATATTGCTTTCTCGCTCTATCGCTTTCTTGCTTAATTGCTTTCTTGCTCTATCGCTTTCTCGTGTGATGATATCGCTTTCTCGTCTCATGCTATCGCTTTCTCATCTCGCGTTATTGCTTTCTCGTCTCGCGTTGTCGCTTTCTCGTCTCATGCTATCGCTTTCTCGTCTTGTGTTATCGCTTTCTCGTCACGTAATATCACTTTCTCGTCTCGTGATATCGCTCTCTCGCTTTCTCGCCCCAGAATTTTAAGGCTAGAAAGCGATGGCCCTAATCAGCCACTATAGGAAAGAGGGTGAAATACGATTCTGTAATATATCAATCACCCGTTTGGCCCTACCGCACATGTACAATGCCTCATATCATTAATAGGTATATGCTAAAAAACAATCATCTGTTCTCCTCATAGTGTATTGTTTGCTGTTGTAATAAAAAAAGAAGATCTAAACCACAAAAAAAACCTTTTTATAATTTTAAATTAAATTATATGTTCTCCATTTAAAGCTTTCAGCAGATATGATTTATGACTGTTCACAGGGCTTCCTCGCTTCTTCTGCATATTATCTACCTATGAAATACGTATCTACCTACGTATTTAACATTATGTTTATAAGGGATGATGTACTCATTAGTCTGTGTTGACTGTGTCGCAATAGGTTCAAATAAAGACAGCAAATTGCGGATACGGTTCCAACAATGCGTGGTGTAATTGTGGAGTTGCTGTACGAGCTGGCAGGACAGTGTTTGAGTTCAACAGGTGCAAGGGACAGTCCAGTATCTGGACAATAGAATACACACTTTGTGAAGACAACGGAGATGTACTTCAGGTCAAGAAGAAGGGAAGCAATTATGAGGTAATTAATGCTTGTTTATTTGTATCTTATGCTATGTCCTTTGTGTCACCTGATGTCATATCCACAGTCGATGACCAGTATGTCATCATGGGCAATTCGTACCAAAAGAATTATATTAATAAAATTCATATTACCCCCTACTTACAACAACCAAAACGCTCAAATACATCCCCTTCCCTCATCCATAAAAACGCCCAATGAATTACTGTCAATTAGAGGCGATGCCACCATCTTTCTCTTCCACAGGTGTATTTGCCGACTGGAGGGAGAGTAAACGTTAATGTGTACAAAATCCACCTCAATGTTTACATCTACCCGTCAGTCCAAGACGAGAATCACAGTCGTGGTCTGTGTGGGACACTGACTGGAAACTGCAAGGACGACTTTGTCCTCAGGAACGGCGCCTACTCCACAGATGACACGGCAACGGGTGACTGCGACACTGCATACAACAACTGGAAGAATCTTCTTACTACATTCTCGAAGTCATGGAAGTGAGACTTTTATTCGATGTATCTGGTGATTATTGTTGTAAGCCACGGTTGGCATTATCTGAGTTGCATCACGGCCACTGTACACAGTTGAATCTGGAACTATACTCCAAGCTTAACAACATGACCATCAAACAACTGCGTCAGGGAACGAATGCACAGTATATTTATCATGTAACACATTGTACTTTATCAAGTATCAATCATCCTGATCATTTTCCTTACAAACATAAGACTCTTGGTGTACTTCACATGAAACCAACTATAGTTATTTGTATACAATAATACACAGTTGATTTTATTGATATATCATGACATTACTGCAAATTGAATATTTCTCCGGAATTCTGTCAACGTTTATGTACATCTTGTGCTGCAGGGTTGATGATAGAGATGACCTGTTTGATCCGGACGTTCATGCGTCGCTGTCAGCCTGGCCCCAGACAAACCTCTATTGTTCCTGTTCCCAGGATCCTAACTCTCAGAGTAGTAGAAGATTAACTGAGGCAGTAAATTGCACAGCAGCCATTCATAAGGTGTGTAACATTCTCCCGGGCTTCAAAGACGTGTATCCGACTTCGTGCACAATTACCAAAAGACGGAGGAGAAGATCTGCAGGTGTCCGTTTGGACTCACCCAAGAGACTACGACGGGTAGGAAAAACATATTTAAACATATGTTTCTTCTATTTGTTATATTATTGTAACTGTAACGAAACAGTCGTTGTCATGACATTTATGGTATTCTTATTATGACTGCGTTGGAAGCCCTGGACCTCGTGCGTTTTGTCTTTGAATATATTTTGGCTACGTTCGATAGTTTTGACACACTTTTGTTATTACTCAAGTCATAAAATTCCAACTGAAAACGTTGTATGTTACATGTTCTCTGCAAAACAACAAATGTTATTGGCAGAGTTTGTAAAATGACCCAAATAAAAGTATTTAAAAATTAGAAATTAGGAAACAAAACGACATCAGAATCAAATTTTGAATTATATTACCAAATCTTGCGACTATATGTTTTGCGCAGCAGGCTGCGAATGTGTGGACAGACGGGTGGACAGAGGTAAAAGCCAGGACATTCTGTGAGAACATATTCCAGGATTCACGATCAGTGCAAACGTGCAAGAACGTAAGTGGCGTTGGCATCGGCGGAAGCATCGACAACTGTGTCCTGGACATTCAGGTACATGTATTACATATAGAAGTACATTATAAGCTTTTCACTGGTCACCAGATGTTCCCTGAGGCCGAAGGTCGAGTGGAACATAATCAAACATCGAGGGTACATCAACCCTTGGGCCCAGAGGGACCAGTGAACAACGTGTTTATCTTACCAAACACCTCAATGTTAATTTTGAATTGTTTGAGGCACGGGTACAAAACTTTTTGTAGCCATCGCTAGATTTTGCAGACGACAAGAAAAACAGATTTAGAGTTACCTCCCTTCCATCGATTTGCATTCGCAAAACATCGGTAATTTCCGTACATCATAGGTGATTCAATGTTATTCGAGTTAAAGAATTACTACCACGAAGTACCACATTTCCATCGTGGTGCATACAAATGCTTGTAAGCGGGGTACATTGAAAATAATAGAAGAGCGCATAGCCAATCAGAAAACGACATTTATGTGTGAGGTAAGATAAATTCGTTATTGCCCAAAGAAGTAGACATTCGTGTGTTGCACATAGGGTTAGGCATCCGCGTGTTGCACATAGAGGTGGGCATTCGTGTGTTGTACATAGAGGTGGGCATTCGCGTGTTGCACATAGAGGTGGACATTCGTGTGTTGCACATAGAGGTGGGCATTCGCGTGTTGCACATAGAGAAGGGCATTCGTGTGTTGCACAGATAGATGGGCATTCGTGTATTGCACATAGAGATGGGCATTCGTGTATTGCACATAGAGGTGGGCATTCGTGTGTTGAGCATAGAGGTGGGCATTCGTGTGTTGCACATAGAGGTGGGCATTCGTGTGTTGCACATAGAGGTGGGCATTCGTGTGTTGCACATAGAGGTGGGCATTCGTGTGTTGCACATAGAGGTTGGCATTCGTGTGTTGCACATAGAGGTTGGCATTCGTGTGTTGCACAGAGAGATGGGCATTCGTGTATTGCACATAGAGAAGGGCATTCGTGTGTTGCACATAGAGGTGGGCATCCATGTGTTGCACATAGAGATGCAAAGGCTGAGGCTGGTTATCGAGGGTAAGAATGATCTCCGCACAGTTGTATTTTTGCAACTTGAGATGTAATGTTATATGAGAGGCGAGACTTAGCTCCCCTTGTATACCTGAGGAAAAGACACCAGAAGATTTTCCAGCTCCCTTGGTGATAATAGAGATCATCTTTATTTCCTCCAAAATTGAAGATACATATGCATGAGTTAGCAGATATTACATTATACAAAGTACAACTGTATGAAAGTTATACAATACAAAAACATTTGAAGATATGTATATATAGGGGATGTGAATCTAGTAACGTGTAGAAAAACCGTTTCCATTCATGAATAGCTTTACTTGTGATTTTCATACATTGAATCCGTAGATCAGTATCAAGATCTCTACGGGGGCTCGTCCAAGAGAAGAGATTAACATTGATATCATGTTTGATTTTCTTTCGAAGTTGACAGGCACCTCGGATTTTTTTCGTTTTTCTATCGACACGGTGAGAGACAAATGTCTGCACGAGGTGTTGGTTGATCCTGAACTCCAGGTAAAGAATGGGACGATGAACGTGTCTGTCTATGATAATGTTGTGGCTGAGGCTTGTCTGAACGACTGCAGTGGCAAAGGAACATGTACAAATGGTAAGCACCTAGAATTATAAATAACATATTTGGAAAATAATTATTGTTTCTTTTGAAATTTCGAAAAATGAAATATTTGGTGTAGTGTTCACAATTTCAGTAACTGAATATTTAACATCAGCAATTCTAGAAAGGACATAATGCTCATGAACATGAATAACTCATCTTTGTTTCACATCCCCATGGTCCCTAGTATGGTGATCTACCTTCAGTTGTTGGCAATCTATAGTCTGTTTTTATCTTGTGTCGTCTTGTATAGTTAAAATGTTTTAAATTTAATGACTAGTTTTTAACTTTACATCTGTGATAAACTAGTTGTTTTACTGTCCTTCGTCGACAGGTTTTCATAATTTACTTATGATTATTATAAATATATAACTTGATATAGTCACGATATGGTTGAAATACTGCCGATGTGACTTAAAATTTTAACTCACTCACTCACTTTGTTTCACAACAGAGATCACACGAAGCTCTTCAATCACTTGATCGATCTTACAAATAATTATTTTCAAGAAACAAAACAAAACCCTAGTAAACCAAACTTCTGGAGAAACATGTCACTGTTCGGGTCACTGAGAGAGAATATAGATTCTTATTCTGAAAAACATGTCTTTGTGCATCTCAGCCATTGTCATTTGCCAGCTAACGTCATGACACAACGTTGTCACAACGTTAGTATTACGTCGTTTTATAACGTTATGTCAGAACGTATAGCTTGTTCAGCTTGAGCTACTCTACATATGCATGACCCGGGAGGTCAAATGGCACAATCGGTAGGTCGAGTTAACTTCATTAAATAGGGGAGTAGGGAATGTTATTAATGTTGCGTTCGTGCGAAACATGCATACATTAAACCACCTGTAGCTTCTTTTTTAACGAAAGGTAGGACATTGCGGACGATTTCTCGACACTGTGATGTCAAACGGCAACGTTGTCTCGGCTGTTCGGACACGTTGACAGTCAAGTGACAAAGGTGCACCCCTTCACAATAATAGACCAAACCAGTTGTGACACGGTCACGCAATGCATTAGTATTCACTTGATCAGGTCAAGCTGAACAAGCTGTAATAACAACGTTGCAAATTTACGTTGAGGAAACGTTAAGCTTTGGGCTCCTCACAACGTTACGACAACATTTCTTATAACTTGGTGTCAAAGTGTTTTCTGTGAAACGTTTCACTTTGAGATTCTTTCTTCACTATTCAGGAACAGCTTCAGAAAACACCCGACCAAAACAACATGCAAATTGACGAATAAACATTGAAGTGAATTTCTGCTTTGTTTCATATGTACTGTTCACTATTGGGAAAACTATTCCCTAGTTAAATAGAATGTTAAGTCAACGTAAACTGCGTTAGCATTAAATGGTATATCCTTGTGGCGACGTAGAAATGACGTATCACAACGTCAGGCCACAACGTTGTGACAAGGTAAATGGGAGTCCACAGAATAACATTGTAACAACGAAAGCATCATGTCGTGACAACGTGAAATTGTTTGCTGAATTTACGTCCACTACAATGTTAACAGGTGACTGTGTATGCCAAACCAACTATGGCGGCTCAGACTGTTCTGTTGACCTTACAACACCCCCACGGCTATCTGAAACAGAAACTGTTGTCGAATGTGACACATCACGTGATGCATGTGACGTTGTGTCCGTGAGAGGCGAGACGTTTGTGGATGGTGTATCAACATGTTTGGTTGACGAGATCAGGGTAAATATGTTCGTATGATAGGTTTATACACGGCATTCGTTTTTAATCTTCTTGAAGGTACTCCAAGCGCTGACGATACACCCTCACCATGAAAAATATACTGTGGCTTTTTAAAAGTTGTGAGTGGTGATTACAAGTTACGATTTCACTGTGACAAAAATTTGTTTTGGAAGTATGTTTAATTCTGTAACTCTATAAGTATATTACTTGCTATAGTCCGTTTGGCTCAAAAGAGGACCGATGAATTGCCAGCTGACTCGAAAACTAATAAACATAAAATACTCAATAAAACGCTGATCATTATCAAAACATCATACCAACTCTGTGATTTTTTTGCAGAATTTTTGTCCTAAAAATATAAAAGTTGTTTAACAATCTATCATTAAAATATTGACACAGTTCACTCTTTGTTACGAGGGAGGAGTGCAGAGACAGGGACAGCCAGGTGTACGAGAAAGGATGGAAACGGCATAGGACATGTTAATGAATGAATAACTTTGTCCGCACTTTTGCTTGTGCTTCTTTAATAACACAACAATCTCTTCAGGCTAGAAAATCAGGACAAGAAAGCGTTGTATCGGCAGTTCGCATGGCAACCGTGGTCAGTATCAGCCATGTTCAGTGCAAAGTCGTTGCCAGTGACAGCACCGGAAGTGAGGACATGGACTATGTGCGTGCCTACCGGATTTCGATTGCCAACAGTGCTGGTAACTATGGTGACAGTGTTGGCCTGATTGTGTTTAATAGTACGTGTATCCGAGCGGATGGTGGCCTGGAAGCAAAGTTCAACTGGACAGTGAAGGTATATCAAAATGAATTAGAATTTAATATAGTTAAGTCAACAAACAAGTAACACTTTGGATGATTAATGAAGGATACCTTTAAACACAGAGAACCTTTTAAAAAAACATTTTAAAAAACACACAGTTAATCTTTTACTCCAGTTATGCATAGCCTGATTTGATTATTTCTGGATTTGAGTAGTATAGTCATGTAGCTTCCTGTTCCACTCCAGGGTCCCTACTGTCTGGACAATGGGGTCTGTGTGCCTCACGGAGCGACACAACCTGGAAACAACTGTCTGGTGTGTGACGTGTCCGGCAACAAGCGCACATGGAAAACAGGATCAGGTAAAATGATGTACCCAGTCACATTAGATGTAAACTGGAGTGAAAACGTCATATATGGTTGATATCTTCATCTCTTTAAAACGGTTAACCCCCGACAAAAAAATCTCATAAGACTTTTTTTTCTAGAAATATGACTGTCCTTCACGTGTCGTCCATGAATGAATGAATGAATGAATGAATGAATGAATGTCTTTATTTCCTCCAGAGTTGAATCCGAAGATCATACAAAGGCAATACCTTATTTACAATAATCTCTTGCATTAAACAAAATGAAACAACATTTGCAGCAAAATGGAAGCACATATTGGACTGCTCATTAATAGATAATTTACAATGTACAATTTGTGTGCAGTAGGGAGATTCTGTTTAGTAAATGTACATCAGATGTTTCTTCAGATTCCATACAAAGTGAGAATTTTAAAGCTTTGCAAAGACATTGGATATTGTAATTGCAATCAATCAACTTTTTAGCAACTGTTTTACAATCTTCGTAGCTTTTGCTCGATCTTACCGCACACTGTAATGGTGGTTATTGAATGGGTATTGTTATTATGGTTACCTGGTGGGAATACTTACTCATCCATTCTGCGAATATGTGTGGCAATGTATGTTTCAGAGTCGAGATGCCAGGGTGAGAAGGGACAGCTTCTTCTTATAACTGTAGCTGCGTCTGTCGGGGGAGTCGTCCTCCTCATCATCATCATCGTTGTTGCTGCAGTCTGTGCATGCAAACGGAGCAAAAGGGAGGGTAAGTGAAAGACTATACCACATAAACCTCTGTAGTGCATGGGATGAAGGAAGTAACAATTTACCTTTTGCTCTCACAATATCAGGTTTACTATGGACTACATAACGTTAAAAACTACTTAAATGAGAAATAGAATCCCATACTCGTGTTTCTTGACACAAGTTTCAAAGGTTGAAACGTTTAGCAATAAATTGACATCAAAAGTCACCCAGGAGAGATTTTCGACCTGCTCGCAAACAGAGAAACCCGTTTTGCTTTCATAATACCAGCCACGCCATGAACTACTGTTAAGCTGCATTAAACTTATCGAAAGACACTGTGTGTTAACCCCAACGTCAGTTAGCTCATATCAGCTGTATGAGTGGGTGTATCCCATCATAGGTCTGTTCATCAGCCCAGGCAAGGTCTGGGTTAGAATTGATCTTCAGTAACCCATGCTTAGTAGAGACTAACGGGATCGGGTGGTCAGGCTCGCTGGCTTGGTTGACACATGTCATCGTATCCCAGTTGCGTAGATCGATGCTCATGCTGTTGGTCACTGGATTGTCTGGTTCAGACTCGATTGTTGACAGACTGCCGCCATATAGCTGTGATATTGCTGAATGCGGAGTACAGCTAAACTCACTTACTTTCTCATCAGCCAAAAAACTTCTTCGTTACCTAGGAGACCAACAAATCAGAAACAGCTTTGTCTTCATGATACAAGCAAAACACTAACAGGAACTCACAAAGTCCGACCGAATTCTGAAATGCATTCAAAGTAGTGGCATGGCTGTGCTGGCACCCGTGAAGAGACACCTCCTCGTGGTGGGTGCTGGGTAACGCTAAGCGCTCTGCAACTCCCCGTTGTGGACCCGGGGGTATATTTGGTCCACCAACCCGTTTGCCGTGGGTGGAGGATGGGAGTCTGGTGGTTGAGGGCACTGGTTCCAGGAACAGTGTTCCTCTGTCCAACACACCACTTCGCCCCTTACTTCACCTAGACGGGTGGTAGAACTGGCCTTGTTATATCAATCGGCTGGTCACGCCATGCCCTGTGCTACGTCTATGTACTATTGTAGTGGCATGGCTGTGCTACCTTTACGTAGTACAGAGCTGTAGCATTACCATATACGAATGTACTACACCTGTGAATGTATGCTGTGTTTGACATAACACATGACGTCTCTGAATTCTTCACAACTTGTATTTTTTCACTATGTTTGCCCTTATAGTAGGACGTTATATATATCATTGAGAAATCAGGTGCTCTTTTCTGAGAATAAGATTGTATTCATAGTGACAACTGAAATAACATCACATTTTACAGTAATTATGTCGACCACCATTTCCTTCTGTTGCAGGGAAGAATTTCTTTCCAATGAGTAAAGTCTCCTCATAAAAATCACAACGAACGAACTACAATGCAACCTGAACTCGACCAATCAGAAATGCCATTCAAGGTTTGGTTTTATGATGGTGTCAGTAATAAACATGCCTTTTGTACATCATTTCACAGAAAGTCAGTAGAGCGTTGTACTTGAAAGCAGATCAATGCTGAGATATTTAAATCTTGAATTGTATTTAAATGTTACAGCATGAAAATATGTTTGCATTATATATTCAAGGTTCCTTCTTGAGTATCTCAAATAATATTTAACATGGAACAACTGTGTGTCTTATCTGTCAAACTTCAATGGAGGGTGAACTTTATATTCTGCTTGTTTATACTGATATGCGTGTAGCACATAACCCATATCTAGAGATCATCTCTGTTAACCTCAAAGGTTAACTATTCTTAGATCAGCGGTGTTAGTTCACCATGCGATTTGTGGCGCGACAATATGTGTAATCTCACCACCACAGACGTCTTGTATGCAACACACCTTTTGTACTTTTGCCCTTTTTATGTTTTATAATAAATAAAAAACTTTGACCGTGATCTTGAAATCTATTGTGCTTGAAAGTGAGACTATCCAGTAGTGGATGGTTTGTTAACGTGTATCTGTCAAAGGTGTTCATTAAGTTTATATGCCTGTTTATAAAACAAGGGCGACTCCCAAATGCCTGAAAACTGCAGACCAATCACTCTTCTGAGCTGTCTAGTCTATCTGTTTACTTCTATTCTAAATATTCGTTTATAAAAATTCGTCGCATAAAATTTCTTGCTTACGCATTTCAGGGAGGATTTAGAAAAGCATATTCCACTTACGATCATAGTTTCATGTTACATGGATAAGCAGAGCTTTTAAAAGCAAAGAGACAGACTTTGTTGATTTTCCAAAAAACTTTTGATACGGTCTGGCGTTTAGAACTTTGACGGAAGCTATTACAATATGATGTAACTGGAAAATGTTTGACGGTCATTTATATAACATGAACACAATAGAAACAGAAAATCAGGTGTTTCAAGGTATAGTATTCACACAAGTTTTCCCCATGTAAAACTGGTGTTAGACTAGGAGAACATTTGTCTCCCCTGCTGTTTGCCATGTTCTTAAATAATTTAGAAAATACCCTTTTGTATGATATTATGTATTTGCGTTCAACTAAAGACAAGTGAATTTTATGATAAACTTATCATTACGTTATTTTTGCTATCGTATGCAGGCTATGCAGTCCTCTTGGCTACAAATATGCAGCATTTGTAAAATATGTTAGTAGTTACTTTTGAAAATGAATCTGCCAGCAAATGTTTCGCGTTTATTGCTAAAATTCATAACCACCAACCATAATCTGGCCAGTGGAAAAAAAATACCAATAACTGAAAGAAATTGCCCACTTTCCAAATCAACTGATTTTGGTGATGAACTTCATTGCTTATTTACCTGTCCAGTTTTGGTAAATGAAAACAGCAGCTAATTCACAAACGTATTGACACTACATCAAACTTCTTTAAAGGTCACATAAACCCTAGGGGGTACAAATACATAAATCACTAACTGGCATCGTTATAAATGAAACCCCGTCATTAAAACTACTCATTTCGACCTTTAATTGACTTAAATCGACCTTTTTGACAACAGTGCACAATTCTCACCCGCGAACGAAATTTCAACCAATCAGAGCGGCGCGTCTCTGTGACGTCATATGAGGAATAGCTTTGAGGGCCGATGCAGAATTCATCTACATTTTAGGGGGTAAATTATCTTGTTTACAGGCTTGTATAAACCTGAAATCGTGATATTTGTTGTGGAAAATGAAAGCTATATGTTCTCACAATCTACTGTCATTTAATTTTGTCTCCTGCTTTGCCTAGTTTCCGAGTTACAACTTGTTTTCATAGACGATTCTGTCAAAATCGCTTGGTGTCGTTAGGCCCTATTTGTATAATGACTGATCTAAATTGATCCCATTTCTGTGTTTTTTTACCTCGATATTTAATCATGTCATGTAAAAGTCTGCTTGTATTCTCAAAACAGTGTCGGCCCATAAGTTTTCACATGCAATACAGCAATTAATACTCCCTTGTTGTAACCCGTGTTAGGTGGTATAAACCTACACATGTTATTTGTCATCATTCACTTGATGGTCAGTTAATGAATTTATAACAGGTATAATTAGTGGTAACACACTTAGATTACCCGACAAAGGTTCCCATTTGGCATTTCTTGTGTCTGGAGTAAATATTCAACATTATAAACATCGATCAAAGGATTAACCGATAACACGCTGATTGATTAATTACTTTTATCTTACACAGCGGAATTGTCAAAAGGTAGTGTTTATGTATGTAGATTTACTAATCTATACTGAATACACTCTGTCGTGTCGGTGTCTGCGTAAAAACAACGTGCTCCGTTCAAAGGATTAACCGGCAATACATTGATTGATTGCCCATTATTGGCTAAGTAAATTACTGTTTTTAAAGAAAGGCGGACATTATGCAATTAGTTGCCAGGTGTGCTATCTTGGGTGACCAATGAGACTATACACCAATACCTGAAAAGATTGATCACTTTTTCGTATATTTTAAACTGTTAAAAGACACATCATTTGGAACAGTTTTGTGGATATTGATGGATACATTCCTCGAACAAAGTAATGGCCTGATATTGTTCCTATAACTTTAATCTGTTTTAATTTTAATATTTGCATTTTGTTTTTATTCATTTATCGTAGCATTCAACAGAATCATTGTTTTCGCCGTGAAGTGTAAAGAGACAGACAACATTCACTAGGGTGTGTGTGCGAATTATGATTCACATTGGCAAACTATAAAATGTCTAGCTATTACAGTTCTGTTATAAATTCACTATAAGTATCAGCAGATCATCTGCTTTTTATTTAGTTTCAAATTGCATACGAGTATGATCACAAACTAATTAGGATTATAAGACCAAATATAAAGACGCACATTGACTAGTATCTACATACTGGTGAGTGGACATTAACCATGTGAATGTAGCAAGAAATTTATCGCGCAGTATTGTAACTTCGACCCCCACCTCGCTTCCGTTATGTTATTTATAAGTTGTGTCATGCAAAATCCGTTTGGTTATGATTCCAATACATATTTAACTACGAGTAGAAAGTAGTTTTGATTTTCTAACTTGATGAAAACAAACTATAATCTCATTAATTCTAACAGACTTTACGATTTTCAAAATTGGCGGCTCCCTGTCGGGAACATCCGCCAGTCTGAGGATAAATGCTATTTAGATTTGTTTTCACCGAGTTACAAAATCAAAACTACTTTCTACTGGTAGTAAAATATTTATTTTATTGATGGCCAATAGGATTTTGCATGACATAGCGTATACCATAACAATTTCTCTCCTGGCAGCGAGGTGGGTGTCAATATAATACTACTTACAATATTATTGTTACTTCGACCACAACCTCACTTCCGAGGAAGAAATCGTTATGTTACAAGTTGTGTCGTGGAAAATCTTTATGGTCATCAATCATATACATATTTTACTACAACTAGTAAGTAGTTTTGATTCTTTAACTTCCGTGAAGCGATCTGAACACAAGTAAGATATCGTTTCAGGCTTCCACAACGCTCACTTCGCACTCACAAACATAACCCATTTAGCACGAACTGCGGGGTCCTGTGGAAATCTGTGCATGGTGACACCGTCGCCCGACCCCTAGGAGCAATTGACGACAAAGCAACGATTCGACATGTCGTCGTTGATGTCGAGAAATCATCAAAATGATGAGCATGCTACACACTTTCTATACAACTAACTGAAAATCGTTCCTCATATGACGTCACTGCAGTGCTCTGGCGACAGAGTAACGTAACCTGTCTGTGGTTTCGTTGGCGGGCGAGAGAGAAGCAGGCGACTTTTTGGCCACTTTTAATCGCTCGGTATTAATTAACCACAAGTTTTTAAAGAATAAATTTGGTGTTCCGCATAAGACTAACCACAAATCTTTCATATGTAATGGTTAAAAGAGTAACAAAAAACAAAGTTTAGTGGTTCTTTAAAATTAACTTACTTTTTAATAGTCGAAAACTATGAACTCTACGAAACATTTCCAAAATGTGAAAAGCTATTATGGTACAGTCGAACACAAACAACATGTTTCATAATATAATATTGTACTCTGATATCTGGTATCTCTGCTCGGAGACGTTTTTAATGCGTACTGCATACCGAAAGAAGGGGGAGATCTGCAGGTGTCTGTTCGTATCACCCAAGAGGTTTCGTCGGGTGATACCCCCTACATAATCAAGTGGTCATTTTACTTTCGATGTATTTTTAACTTAAACAATATTTTGTTGTCATGATATCTATGTTTTTGTCTGTATGACTACTTTTGCAGCTCTGGACTTTATGTTTCTACTCTTTAAATATATTTCAGCTAGAAATAAATCACGAAAACGTTTAGCAGTAATTCACACTTTTGTTATAACTCAAACACGACCCGTGAAGATCCGGGTTAGAATTGATCTTCAGTAACCCATGCTTGTCGTAAGCGGCGACTAACAGCATCGGGCGGTCAGGCTCGCTGACATGGTTGACACATGTCATCGTATTCCAATTGAGTAGATCGATGCTCATGCTGTTGATCACTGGATTGTCTGGTCCAGACTCGATTATTTACAGACCGCCGCCATATAGCTATAATATTGCCTCCTCACTCACTCACTACTCAAACAGAAAAAAGCTCTAACAAGAACGCTGCACATTACAGTTCTATTAGCAAAACCATCAAATGATATTTGGTCAGTTTGTATTATGGCATTGATTCCACTTGGAACTTAGAAGATTAAGCAATATGATAAAATATATGTGTAAAACATTATTGTATTACCAAATCGTGTTACTACATGTTCTGCGCAGGAAGCTGTGAATGTGTGGACAAACGGATGGACAGAAGTAGAAACCAAGACATTCTATAAGAAGTTATTCCAGGAATCGCAATCAGGACAAGCGTGCAAGAACGTAACTGGCGTTGGCGTTAGTGTTGGCGTTGGCGTTGGCAACTGTGTTGGACATTCAGGAATAGCACAGAGAAAGAGACATCCGTCTTATGCACAAAAAGTAGTCATTACGGCATTGAACATTCATGTATTGCACGGAGAAGCAGGCATCCGTCTATTGCGCAGATATTGTAAACGTTAGGGCATTGAACACACAAGTAGACATTCAGGTATGGCACTTAGAAGTTGACATTAGGGCATTGAACATATATACATAGACATTAGGGAACTTAGAACTCGACATGCATGTATTGACCACATAATTATCAGATATTACACATTAAATAGGCACAGGTATTTCACATAGCAGTACACGTTCAGGCGTTGAAATTGAGGTTGTGCAATGAGATATTGCACATAGAATTTGACATTCGTGTATTGCACGCATAGTAAGGCAATGAGGTATTTCAAATACATGTATAAGTAGGCATTCGGGTATTTAACATAGATTTCGACATTATATCAGTGTTGTAACTTTATAAGAAATCAAAGTATGTGAGTTT